GGTGAATCAACAATGTTTCTTCTTCTTTGTTCCTTGGAAGTAAGTATGAACCTATTGTAGCAGCAGTGGTAGCAAGATCTCCCTTCTAACATTACTGGCTTTCTATCTGTCTCTGATAGTAAGCTGGAGATCATTCCATCCTCTTCATCTTTTAAGGAATATATGCTGTATCTTGGAAAACTAAAATGACCAAAAGTAAAACCAACCAATTGTAATGGGGGTAAATAATAACTTAGACAAACAGGAGAAGAACTGCAACCAAAATAACAGTCGGATAAAAGAAATCTGAGTCTGTGTCAGAACTGTAATTTGAAAAAAGGTTCCAGACTATGTCTTTATTTTATTTTATTTTATTTATTGGTATTCATCCTCCTATTTTCTCATGACAATCACCCTGTGAGTGAGTTGGGATGAAAGAGAATGACTGGCCCAAGGTCACCCAGCTGTCTCTCATAGCTAAGGTGGCACTAAAACCCACCATCTCCCATTTTCTAATTTGGTGCCTTAACCACTAGACCAAATTGGTTGCAGTTCTCCTGAAGATAAGGGGAGGAAGGTGAAATCAAAATTGCAAGGTTGTTACTGTAACCTTATAATAAAAATAGTATTAGCATTCATGACTTTGGCTTTCTGGTTGAGTCTACCTTGAAGGACTAACACCATTCTAACAATAACCATACATCAATATCATATATTCATTTAATTAAAATATCCAAAATCAAATAAACTATTTATTGTGGCCATATGGCTAGCACTCAGATAAAAGCGTTGTTAAAACAAATGAATTGAATTGAATTGAATTGAATCAAATCAGGATAGGACGAGTTTTGATGCTTTGAGCTTTGGTGTTGGAGAACTGAAAATTCTGTGGATGGCCAAGAAAATACACAAATGGATCATCAAACAAATCAAACCACTGTTCTCAGTCAAAACATAAATGATCAACCTAAAATTATCCCACTTTGAATACATTATGCAAAGGCCCATCTCTCTGGAGAAGGTGCTAATGAAAGCTGAAAAGGAAAAGAAGAGGACAACTAGCAGTTAAGTGGCAATGAGTGCACCATTGGGAGACTTAAAAGGTTAGAGAAAGATAGTAATGGAGAAATCTTTCTACGTGATTACTAGGACTCAAAAATAATGTGAAGGCACATGTAATGAATCAGAACAGAGTGATAAGAGATTTTTCAGACTTGAAGGAAAGCAGGTAATACATACAGAAGTGATATATGTAAAGGTAAAGATTCCCCACACATACATGCGCTAGTCATTCCTGACTCTAGGGGGCAGCACTCATCTCTGTTTCAAAGCCAAAGAGCCAGCGCTGTCCGAAGATGTCTCTGTGGTCATGTGGCCGGCATGACTAAATGCCAAAGGTGCCCGGAATGCTGTTTCCTTCCCACCAAAGGTGGTCCCTATTTTTCTACTTATATTTTTATGTGTTTTCAAACTGCTAGGTTGGCAGAAGCTGAGAAAAGTAACAGGAGCTCACTCTGTAATGCGGCACTAGGGATTCGAACCGCTGAACTGCCGACCTTTTGATCGACAAGCTCAACGTCTTAGCCACTGAGCCACCGCATCCCAGGAGTGATATACTGTATACTTTATCTGACAAAAAAATCACAATCTGAAGCAACCAACCAGTTCAGACATTCACAACATATTATTACAATATATTAATTTGATTGGCAGTATTCCAAAACAAATTTTATTAAGGTGATAAGAGAAAAATAGAACAAGAAAAATAGTGACATCTATTTGATTGATTTTTTCAAACACAAGGTAAAGCAAATAAAACATAGAAAAATGATGACCTGGATAACCTGGAAGGATATATCTGAACAATGGCCATGAGAAGGGGCAAATAAAATCACATTATCTTCCAGAAAATGTTTTCAAGATAGGAGAGATAAAACTTGTTTGGGTTTCCATCCATGTAGAAAGAACAAAATAACATATAATTCCAGGGATTCCAAAGAGCTGTTCCCCAACAGAGGGCGCTGTTGGCCAAAGCGAAGATCCAGCAAAATTTTGGAATGCTGACAGAGTAATACTGACTCTAGTACAGGGGTGTCGAACTCGATTTCATTGAGGGCCACATCAGGGTTGTGTTTGACCTCGGGAGGCCAGGGTGGGGGTGGCCAACTCAACATCTCTCATGTTGGGGGCACCTTTGGGAGCCTGAAGGCTCTCCCAGCGAAAATGGGCTCCCAAGTTCTGTTTTTGGCCTCCTGTGACCCTCTGCCAACAAGAACAAAGCTCGGAAGGACTGCATGCGACCGTCCCGAGCTCCTTTTTCAGTGGCAGAGGCACCCCGGGCCAGTCCTTCGCTGTTTCTAGGGCAGCCCTGTGGGCCAGATCTAAGCACCCTGTGGACTGGATCCAGCCCCCGGGCCTTGACTTTGACACCCCTGCTCTAGTATATGCCACTAGGGAGAAAAATACAACCTACAAAGCTGGGAGCCAGATGTAAATTGATTTAAAAATCAATGTCTCAAATACCATGCAGTATTCTTTACTTAAAAGTGTTCTGAAGTATCAGAGAAAATACAAAAGGTCATAGACTGTAAATCATGACTAACTTTAGTTCATTTATTTATGAACATAATCTACAAATTATTTCGTGAGACTCAAAGCTGTAAATCTATCAATAGTCAAATCTCATTATGCACTCAATGGCGACAATGTAGTTTGAACCCTTTGCTCAAAAGAATATTTATTGCTATCCCTCCTTCATTATTTTTATAATAACTCAAGTACTTCTTTCTGCTCCTATCATGCCTGTCATGCATTCTATAAAACAGTATCAATCTTTGTGTGTGTGTGTGTGTGATTTATAAAGTGTATGTAAATGTAAAAGTGAAGGAAAAATCCAGTGGAAAATTCATGGAGGGTATATAATGACAAAACACAGCATGGGGCTTTTCTTTTACAAAAAGAAAGTCTTTTACAAAGACTTTATTTGCTTGGTTTGTTTCTGAACATCTTTTAATGACACATTCATTTAATGACAATGGCATATATCAGCCCTGGATAGATAACAAATCTAAATGGAGGTCATGGCCTCTGTAAGTCTTAATGGTCAGTGCTACAAAGCATTTCAAAGGGAAGAAGTATTTTTCCTTGGAACAACCCATGCAACTGTGCTCCTGAAAATACTGAGGGATAAGATTGTTTATTCATGAAAAGCAGGTTTCGATAGTGTGCGTGGATGCATTTTTAAACAGATTCAGGGAACGCACTTAGATTCTTGCCACTTCGGGTCTGCACCTGAGAGATTGACCTGTTAATCATAGTTAATCCAAATGTTCAAATTATGTTTGACTTCAGAATAGAATAGAATAGAATAGAATAGAATAGAATGGAATGGAATGGAATGGAATGGAATGGAATGGAATGGAATAGAATAGAATAGAATAGAATAGAATAGAATAGAATAGAATAGAATAGAATAGAATAGAATTCTTTATTGGCCAAGTGTGATTGGACACACAAGGAATTTGTCTTGGTGCATATGCTCTCAGTGTACATAAAATAGAAGATACGTTCATCAGGAATCATAAGGTACAACACTTAATGATAGTCATAGGTTACAAATAAGCAATCAGGAAACAATATCAATATAAATCGTAAGGATACCAGCAACAAGGTTATAGTCATATAGTCATGAGTGGGAGGAGATGGGTGATAGGAACGATGAGAAGATGAGAAGATTAATAGTAGTGCAGACTTAGTAAATAGTTTGACAGTGTTGAGGGAATTATTTGTTTAGCAGAATGATGGCGTTCGGGAAAAAACTGTTCTTGCATCTAGTTGTTCTGGTGTGCAATGCTCTATAGTGTCATTTTGAGGGTAGGAGTTGAAACAGTTTATGTCCAGGATGTGAGAGGTCTGTAAATATTTTCACAGTCCTCTTTTTAACTCGTGCAGTATACAGGTCCTCAATGGAAGGCAGGCTGGTAGTAATTGTTTTTTCTGCAGTTCTAATTATCCTCTGAAGTCTGTGTCTGTCTTGTTGGATTGCAGAACCAAACCAGACAGTTACAGAGGTGCAGATGACGGACTCAATGCAGAACTGGATCAGCAGCTCCTTGGGCAGTTTGATCTTTTAGAGTTGGCACAGAAAGAACATTCTTTGTTGTTGATGACGTTTTTGATGTTAGCTGTCCATTTTAGATCTTGCGATATGGTAGAACCTAGAAATTTGAAGGTCTCTACTGTTGATACTGTGTTGTCTAATATTGTGAGAGGTGGAAGTATGGAAACAGAGGATAATATGTTTTGCAAACCTGCCAGTAATAGAACACACTGGGGCTGTGAGCCTAGATGTCAGGATATCAAGCAACCTCAAAGTGAATCATTGAGAGAGCCAGTTTGGTCTAGTGGTTAAAGCTCCAGGCTACAAACCAGGAGACTATGAGTCCCACCTTAGGCCTGAAAGCCAGCTGGGTGACTTTGGGTCAGTTACTCTCTCTCAGTCCCTCAGGTCAGGCTGGGGCAACAAGCTGATCAGTCGATTCCTGATGCAACCAACGGATCAACACTCGGACATAAAATAAAATCCGAAATGAAAAGTGACCCTGTGCTTGTGGGAAAATGCTTAGCCAGAGAAAGGAAGCAAAGCGTGGAAGGAAGCATAGTGAATCCTTGAAGTTTTATGGATAGTCTGTTCTTTGCAGTGCTCACATAGGGAATGTATTGGAAAAACTGTAGGAACAAGCATATTCTCCTGATTAGAAAGCCATGGAATGAGACAAAATGTTCGCATTTGAAATTCCTTCCCTTCAGTGTTCCAATTCTCTCTGAAGTCACTTGAACATCTCACTAACCTACAACAGTCCTAAAAATGTAAGCAAATCTGGTCTTCAATGAATTCCTTTCAATATTGCTAAATTGAAAAAGCAGCTGAAAGGGAAGAGATGGAAAGAGATGTTACCACTAAATGCTTTCCAAGGAAGAGTTAAATGTTGTAACTTCTCTATAACCTTTATCTTACATTTCTGGTATAAATATTGTGTCAAGAGTCACCATCTCAACATCTGAAACTTTTGGAGGAGCAAGTGAATATTAAAACCAGTAAGTATAACAATCATATCTTGTACAACAGCAAAAGGAATGTTGATAACTAATTTATTTCTTTTTTTCCTTGTGAAGTTATCTGTGTCTTTCTTAGAATTTTAAAGATGAAAGGACTACCACCAGCTATAAAGGGAATTATATGGTTTATCTGATGTTTTTTTTTTTAGTTATTCTTCAGATAGTGAGAGAAAAGAATAAGGAGAGGGAGCTTTAATTAGCAGAGCACATAGATACATCTTTTACCATTTTTCCAGAGTTATTCAGAATAAATTGAGCGTAAAAGTTTAATAAATTATTATTATTAGAGTAATATGACTGTTGAATATATATGACATTGTTCTGATATTTCAATGTATTTATTGATCTGCAAGACATGCTTCAGTTCTTATTATTACTCTTATTCTTTTATTCTTATTCTTCTTTAATTAGAAGTTCATCCTATAGGTTCATTCATATGAATGAAATGAATGGATATAGATTCCCATTTGTAGTTGTTTCTAGAAAAGAGAAAAAGTATTTTCAAACAAAAGTGAAGGGGGGTTAGGTGAGATTTTATTGTTCCCTGGTTTTCCTCTGGGTAGCCTAAATATTTTTTTTTTCTATGTACAGTTATTCTTCTTATAAAACTAAAATGAATCAAAAGTTCTGTTGTCTTGTATAGATATCCAGGCTCAGATATGCATACATTACAGAAATATCACTGTTATCTTGATAAGAAGTAGAACTGACCCGAAGGAACATATCTATATATCTATATCTATATCTATATCTATATCTATATCTATATCTATATCTATATCTATATCTATATCTATATCTATATCTATATCTATCTATCTATCTATCTATCTATCTATCTATCTATCTATCTATCTATCTAAACCTTAGGATAATTTTTTTAATACTTACTTTTGAGTGCATTTTTTAGTTTCTATGAAAAATAAGGAAGCAAGTTTTTGGAATTATACAAAATGATCATTTTAGCAAGCAGCTGCAAAAGACTTTTATTTATACCTTGAACGGTAGCCATTAGAATGGTTGTGGTCATACAGCTTTTTAACAAGAAAAATTGTTTCATTATGTTATATGTAGCACAGTCATTAAGAAATCTATATCTTTTGTTAAACAGGCACAGGATGCAGGCATTAATTATTACAATATGCCTGATTCATGGATTTGCCTACTCAAAACTAATAAGAACAAAGAGAGCTACAAATTCAGAAGGCTTTATGAATATTGTAAGTTGCCTTTCACTATTGATGGAAAATTAATATGATGCTTGATTTTAAATGTGCTTCTCATATTTTTAAAGTTAGACTCATTATCTCCTGGGATTTCCAAATCAAATATCATTTATCAATTTACATGATTGATTTTCTTTCCCTATTTTTTTAAAGGATGTATTTAATATATGTAGCAATATATCCAACTCTGCTCTATTCTGATTGCTTCATTCAGTCTACATTTCATACATCAAAACAGCCAGTGGCTTAAGGAATTGTTCCAGTGATGGGCTTCAAGTAAGTTAACAACCGGTTCTCTGCCCTAATGATTTCTTCCAACAACCAATTTGCCAAACTGCTCAGAAAGTTAACAACTGGTTCTCTTGAAGTGGTGTGAACTGCCTGAATCCCACCACTGAGTTGTTCTATTTAGTTATCCAAAAGGTAAGGTAAGAGAGATGTGATACTCATTTCCATCTTCTGTTGAAAGCATGTTTAAAGGTCTTGGAAGTGTATCAAATGCACACATCTTCAAGATCCTTATGCCTTTCCTTCCCACTTTATGAATATAAATCAAGGCAACCTTACACTAAATAATCTAAAGCCAACTAAGCATTTCGCATAGACCTGATGAAAGCTGAATAAATGACATCAAATCTGTAGAAACATAGAATATAAAACATCACACTATATTTATCTCTTTATTCAAATGATCTTCTATGGATGATAGAGATTCAGGTCATTCTCATGATTTTCACCTAAGCCCAATTACTCCAGATTCGAGAAGGGTTTACAATGTGGGACAAAATAATATGTCCCCATCAATTGATCATCCATCTTCCCTCAGATCTTTCTAGTTAATATTTATTTTTAAAAAGATTCATAATATGCTATTGTTTCAATCATTAGTTTTATGACTCCTAAGGGAAAAAATACTATCTAGAAAATGAGGGGGAAACTAAAATATTTATAGTGTTTTATATTTATTATAAAACATTATAAAAGCCCTAAAAGAGAGAGAAGCAGAAGAATTGTGGGACAAAAGAATTTATCCTTGCAACTTGCTATCAGTTTCCTAAAACTTTATTTCTCTAATAATTGCTCAGTGCTCAGATGCAGATACATAAAGCATAATTCCAAAAGATGAGATTAGATAGTGCCACAAATTCTTTAAATTTGAATTGTTGGTTTATTTTTTACTCTGTTGCAGAATGAACTTATCATCCATAAAGGCTACCTAAGCGAGGAGTACAAAGTGATGACAGCAGATGGCTATATTCTTACCTTGAACAGAATTCCATCTGGCAGAAACTATCAAATGGATTTTGGTGAGATAAATTGATATAACATAGGGATAAGGTAGAAACATATAAGGAAAAAATGAAGCACATATCTGCGACTATCTTTATGAGTGAATAGATGAGAATTGTCCAGATAAATTGAATCCTAGTCCAACCTAATATATACTACATAGATAAATCACAATTTTCCCCACATTCCATTCTTTTGACGCATTTATTCCTAGTAAAACAAAATAATTTTAATATCTTAAGTAAAATATTATATTCTTTTTTCAGGTAGGAAACCTGTAGCATTTCTCCAGCATGGTTTGCTAGGAGATGGAAGCAACTGGATTATCAACTTCGCCCACAACAGTTTGGGTTTCATCCTCGCAGATGCTGGATATGATGTTTGGATTGGAAACAGCAGGGGAAATACTTGGTCCAGAAGTCACCAAAATCTGTCTGTGAATGAAGATGAATTTTGGGCTTTCAGGTATATTTTATTTTTTTATTTTTATTTTTTTTAATTTGATTTATATGCTGCCCTTCTCCGGAGACTCAGGGCGGCTTACAATGCGTTAAGCAATAGCCTTCATACTTTTGTATATTTATACAAAGTCAGCTTATTGCCCCCACAAACTGGGTCCTCATTTTACCTACCTTAGAAAGGAGGGAAGGCTGAGTCAGCCTTGAGCCTGGCGGGATTCGATCTTACTTTAATTGCAGACAGCTGGTGTTAAATTACAGAGCTCTGTCTGTTGAGCTATCCAGGCTCCTATTGTTGTCCTATTATTGTTGCAATCTTGGTATTTTGCAGCAGGGAAATGGAATGAAAAGAGAAAATAATTTCCATCTCATGCTATAAATAATTTAAGATCCAAAATAATTCAATGAGATCTGGTATTTGCTTCTAGGGATGAATCCATTTTTGTAATCCATATTGTATATTCAATATTGTAATGTTGGTACATGTTCAGTTCTACAAACAATTTCTTCAGAATTGTGGAATATGTTTCCATATGAAGCTAATATGGAATAGGCATTTTTGATACATTATCTAGAGGACAACTATTGTATATACTGTTCCCACTTTATTTCACTCACTATTTTGGTTTCCTTCAGAATCCCAATCAGATTGTTAAATTCATTCCTGAATTCAATTCTTTTGTCTTGTATCTTTCCCTAGCTTTGATGAAATGGCAAAGTATGATCTTCCAGCTGTCCTCAATTTCATTCTACAGAAAACTGGCGAAAAACAGTTGTACTATGTTGGCCACTCACAGGGTGCTACAATAGGTATGTAAATGAAGAAAAACTGATATGTAGTGTGGTACAACCATTTGTGTTACAGCAGTTGAGCTATGGAGGAATTTCATACTATGAGGAAAGAGAAAACAGGAGGGAGAAGATTAATATTAAAGTAGTATTACACTGGATTTGCACCTTGTTTGAAAGTTTTGATAGTTCTCATTTCATTCAGGTCAGAAATACAATTGTAAGCCCCACTAGTAGCATTCCTTTGAAGCTTTCATGAAAAGAACTGAAGCAGGGTACTCATATTTTTTTTCCTCATTGTGATATTATCTTCATTTTGCGACTGTATTGCTCCATTACCCCACGCTCCCTTGTCAAAGTTGGCCTGGGCTAGAGTTTCAAAGAACCTAAAAGAGGCCTATTGGGAAGAATACAGGCTGCTACTATTGGTGCTAAAAACAAAAAAGGGCCAAAGGGTTCAGGTGACACCTTTAACCTTCCAGATATTTTGCTTCCCCCTCCCTCCAAAAACTTTGCTATACCTTTCTTCAGTTCTGTCACTTTTATGTCACTGAATAGCAAAACTACCGATAATGATGGCACCAAAGAAGATTCTAGAAGTTGCTAGGCAGGAAAAAGGCAGAGGTGGGCTTCACATAATTTAACAACTGGTTAATTCAATTCACCCAGAATTGAAAATGTGAGTGCACCATTTGCGTACATGCGCGCTGTGTTAAAAATATGGCGATTATATAGGATGGGATAGTGCTGGGGTGGTGGTGGCTGGGCCCAGCCACTGGCCATAACTACCAATTCGCCCGAACCGGTCTGAACTGGCTGAATCTCTGGAAAAAAGGTTATATAAGCTATTCAGCATCCGTATGAGGAAGCTAGGATAATCTCCCTGAGATAGAAGAAAGTCTGCCAAAAGATAAGGTGTGAGGTGAGGTGAATTTAGCCAGCCAATCAGAATTGCTGATGGAATATATGAAGTGTATTAATAATACCTGTTATGAGGTGAAGCAGTGCGCTTGCTTAGAGATGTTAGTCCTGAGTATAAATTCTTTACCTCTGCTCAGAAATAAAGTTTTTAAAATGTTCCTACCCATTTAGTGTGATTATTGGCTAACCCACAAGTGAAGCAAACTGAGCCAACAGTAACTTTTACACTAGGAAAATTAGGCTTCTATCACCCTCCCCCCAAATATAAAAGCTTTACAACTGGATCAAAAATAGTTTGTGTAAAGAGAACCATTTTAAAGACTTTTAATTTGAAAGCATTACAATAAAGAAAGTGTTTTGGTTTGGTTATTTTTTTAGTTAAAACTTTCCATTATCAAGAGTCAATTCAAATGTTTCCTTTGAATGAATGTGCCCATGAATTACCCTTGTCCACCATTCAGTAACATGAATGGTCATTACCTTTCTTGCTATCATGTACCAGATATATGTGGGGACAGCTCCTCCATATAAAAAAGGATCTAAGAGAGATCTTGCCTAATCAGATCCCTTTTTACACAGATGAGGACAACTTGCCATTCATGCTATGGATGAGGACAACTGACGATAATAAATCTCAAATGCATATTTCTTAGGGCAGCATGAAGCTGATATAGTATAGTATGGAAGAACATTGAGGGGTGTCTGAGATATATTGGTCTAAAAAAGCAAGATGATAGTTACAGTCAGAGAGTGGCACTTACTATCTGTATTTATTTTAATACTCACCTACGGATGTCCTTGGCATTTGTTCAGCCTTGTGTCTCATTCTATGAGTTCATTTGGTGCCTGGAATAAACTGAGTATTCTACAAGAGAATTTGTACATAAGATGTTTCAAACAATGTTTGAAAATTAAAAGAAAGTTTGTGCAGGAGATGAGCAGGCTCAGCTGAAAGGTCTGAGTTTGCAATCATCCCAAAGGCGCTTTTTCAAGAGGCAACTGAACTTTCTGGTTTTCCTTTGAAGACATTTCGCTTCTCATCCAAGAAGATGAAGAAACTTCCTGGATGAGAAGCGAAACGTCTTCAAAAAAACCCAGAAAGTCTAGTTGCCTCTTGGGAAAGTGCCTTTGGGACAACCATGACCTGGATGATTGAGAATCTCCATAGACAGTCAGTTTGCAATCCTTTGTAGCCACAGCAGACTCAAGTCCAACTCCTGTGAATTCTGTTGACTTTTATCTAGCACCCATTTAGTTTTGATCTTTAGTTGGCCAGATTCTTGTCTTATAAGAATTATTTTTTAAAAAGTCTTTTGTGCTTTGAATTCAGTGTGTAGTCCTGGTTCTTTGCATCAGTTTGTCAGGTGCAAAATCTTTACAATAGTCTATATTGTAGATAGAGCTTCTTTGTTCAGAACGTCACTGCTTCTCTCTCTCTCTCTCTCTCTGTGTGTGTCTCTCTCTCTGTCTCTCTGTCTCTCTGTGTGTGTCTCTCTCTCTGTCTCTTTCTCTCTCTCTCTCTCTCTCTCTCTCTCTCCATCTCTTCCTCTCCCTCCCGCCCTCTCTGTGTATGTTATGTGAGCACTGTGTCAGAAAAATGTAGTCATACAAAAGGGCATCCATAAAATCCTACTAAGTATTAAAATAGATATGCCCAATATATTGAAATGTTACTGTGCAAACTAAACAGGATGGGAAGGAAGGTGGTGAATTTTATTCCTTCTTTAAAAAATTTTTTTTTTCCCTTCTTGAATTTTTCTCAGGATTTATAGCATTCTCAATGATGCCAGAATTGGCTCAGAAGATCAAGATGTTTTTTGCCTTAGGCCCTGTGACTAGACTTAAGTATGCCAAAAGCCCTTTAATAAAACTTATTCATCTGCCAGAGAGGTTCCTTTGGGTAAGTTCATATTTTATTCCAATTCCTGTTCATCCAAAGAGTCATTAAAGGACATATCCTTAATTTAAAATTTTCACTAGGTTTTAGTAGTCTTTTTTCTTTATGTAGAGGCATCACAGACTATGGTCAGCAAACTGAAAATAGAAGTCACATAGAATTTCACAATCAAAAGGATATCCTTTTATACATGACACGCAAACACAATCTTAATCAGGATTGCCACCTTGATTTTTCTGACTACCAGAATAGATGCCCCTGTCTATGTGGCATACAACCACAGTGGCAGGTCTGGCTAAGAGGGCCTTTGCCCAATTTTGACTGGGATGATAATTCCACCAGTTCTTCCTCATGGTTATACAAGCCTTATTCACCTCTGTGATGTATTGCTGCAATGAGCTGCACATGGACCTGACCTTGAAGACTGTCAGCATGCTGCAGTTGCTCTAAAATTTAACAACATGGGCAATTATATGTGCACCATGATATGCTTAGGTAACACCATTACCTCATGAACTCTGATTTAGAGTAGGCTTCCAGGTACAATTCAAGAAACTGGTTATCACCTCTAAAGCTTTATATGACACAAGACCAGAGTGTTTATTAAAGATGCTTGTCACAAGCTTGATTTGGACTTGTCTGCAGCTGTGTGTAGGCATCAACGCATATGACTACACTACACTTCATCTACACTATGAAGGGGTTGATCGGAAAGCGTAGATTGCAAACGGCTAGAGACAGACTGACATGCCCACCGGGGTGGGTTCTACTTACCTTAATACCGGTTCGCAACAGGACCGCTCATGCACATGCGCAGAAGCTTCTGCGCATGCACAGATCACCCATGATGATGTCGTGGTGGGTGGGCGGAGCCTCCCACTGGTTTTACCACTATAGAACTGGACCGAACCTGGAGCAACCCACCACTGATGCGCACCTCCCAAATCTCAACGACAGGTTGTGCGGAGATGCCCATCCTGCATGTTGATTGGTTGATCTGACTTCCTGTTGGTACTTTGTTGTTTGAGCGCTCCCTAGCCAGAACATTAAAATTAACAAGCCGTGGTGGTGCAGTGGTTAGAATGCAGTACTGCAGACTACTTCAGTTGACAGCCGGCTGCCAGCAGTTCGGCAGTTCAGTTCTCACTGGCTCAAGGTTGACTTAGCCTTCCATCCTTCCGAGGCCAGTAAAATGAGGACCCAGATTGTTGGGGGCAATATGCTGACTCTGTAAACCACTTAGAGAGGGCTGTAAAGCACTGTGAAGTGGTATATAAGTGCTATTACTATTTGCAGAAGTATACATGCAATAGCTATGCAATCATCTCCAAACAAAAGATGCATATGTTCCCTGACATACAAGTGATGTAGAAGTCTAATGCAGCCTTTGGGAAGTTGTGCAATGAATCTAAGGCCAGAATAGATCTTTGCGTTTTATTTTTGTTAATTATTATTTGAATGTTCTATTAGCTTCCAAGAACAACTCCAGCAAACTGGTGACCATATACTGTACATTGATTATATTAAACAAATAATGAATAAGAGTGTTATCATGTGATGCTTTCTGGAGAAATAGCCCTTTGAATGTAATACAATTCCTGAATGGACTAGTATAATGTTAATAAGGTGGCTGAATTACTTTGGGCCAGGCATTCTGTATCAACCCAACTCACCTCACGGGATTGTTGGTGTGGAGCAAATACAGATACTCCTCTACTTACAACAGTTCATTTAGTGACTGTTTGAAATTACAATGACACTGAAAAAAAAGTGTCGTTGTAACCATTTTTCATAGTTATGACCTTTCCAGCAGTGGTGAAATCCAGCAGGTTCTGACAGGTTCTGGAGAACTGGTGGCAGAAATTTTGAGCAGTTCGGAGAACCGGTAGTGGAAATTTTGAGTAATTTGGAGAACTGGCAAATACCACCTCAGGCTGGCCCCAGAGTGGGGAGGGAATGGAGATTTTGCAATAGCCTTCCCCCAGGAGTGGGGAGGGAATGGGGATTTTGTAGTATCCTTCCCCTGGAGTGGGGTGGGACTGGAAAGTTTGCAGTATCCTTCCCCTGCCACGCCCACCAAGCTACACCATGCCCACCAACCCACACCCACAGAACCAGTAGTAAAAAAATTTGGATTTCACCACTGCTTTCCAGCATCCCCATAATCAGGTGATCAAAATTCAGATGCTTGGCAACTGGTTCATATTTATGACGGTTGCTGTGTTCCGGGGTGATATGATCACCTTTTGCGACCTTCTGACGAGCAAAGTCAATGGGAAAACTGGATTCACTAAACAGCTGGGTTACTAACTAATCTACTCCCATGATTCACTGAATGAATCTGTAGCAAGAAAGATCGTAGAATGGGGCAAAATTCACTTAACAAGAGAAATGTTGGGCTCCATTGTTGTCATGTGGGGAGGACTACCTGTAGAAGGAGGAAGGAATATTAACTAAGTTTGCTGACTTGAGCTATTTATAAAAGTTAATAAAAGTGGGATAAAGACAAATAAAATAAATAAAATAAATATTTATTGCTTCAGGTATCACGCAAACTATTTGAAATACTCATGTTCTTGATTAATCAAAATATTCAAAATCACATTCTGGTTCTACATCATATCCTGTGTATTATTTACCTATGCCTTTCCACATAGAGAGAAACTTTCCTTTTCACCTAATGCTAAGTATCATCCATTAAAACTGGTGCCTATTTACGTTTTCTGCCCTTCTATTCACATAATTCCTTTACTGTAACCATGTACTAATAGCAGAAGTCATGAAGAATGTTCAGACATGAAAAGAACTACATATTACTTCATCTGGCAGATTTTTTAATTTAATTTTTATTGGTATTTTGTAGACTATGTTTGGCAAAAGAGAATTCCTTCCCCAGAAGTGGCTAGTTAAAAAGGCTCTTGCTACTTTCTGCAGCCGGCGTCCATTCACTAGTGTTTGTGGAAACATCTTTTTCTATCTTGGTGGTGATAACAGGAGAAATATAAATATGGTGAGTATTGCTGCTTGCAACCTTTGCTCAAAAAATACCATAGATGCACATTTATTTAACCAAAACCATGTTAAAATATACCTTAATTTAAATAACTTCAATTTTGTTTTTTAACTGTATCCACCAGATGTAATGTAGACATAAACAAGATGAAGAAAGAATAATTAATAAGTTATGCAAGGATAATAGATCTAAGTACATTTCAAATCATTTTAAAGACTATGATATCCATTGAGTAGGGCCTAATTAGGTACTGGTTTTTATACTTCTGAAATATTTAATGTCATTTTCAGCTAAAACTTTGAAGAACATTTATTTAGAAATGTGTTTTGAGTCATTTCGAGGAGACTAAAATTTCCTTTCTTCTTCCCTCCCTTTAGAGCCGAATAAACATATATGTGGCCCGAACACCAGCTGGAACATCAGTACAAACTATATTGCACTGGAGCCAGGTATCTTTGCTTATTGCAATATTATTGCTGGTTAAGAAATGATACTTTAGAACAGGGGTCCCCAACCTGTGGGTCATGGCCCTCTACCAGGCTGTGGTCTATTCGCAATTGTCCCATGTGAGCAGTAGTGGGTTCCTCCTGGTTCGGCCCAGTTCCGCTGAGCCGGTAGCGGTGACGATATGATGTCACCAAACCGGTTCTGCTGCCCCCCACCCCCCCGCCCCGCCGCGTTATTCTTACCTTTTATTTGGCCCCATCCCCAATCTATTGCTGCCTCCTGAGTCCCAGCTGATGGCTAGAGGGAAAAAAAACTGTTTAAACTCTTGCCGTGGGGCTTCAAAGGGCCGCCCTACAGCTGATCAGTGTTAAAAGAAAACAAATGAGTAGATCAGTGCCTGCAAAAATAAATGGGTAGACCAGTGCCTGCAAAAATACATGAGTAGACCACTGCCTGCAAAAATAAATGGGTAGACCGGTACAGCTCTGCAAGCAGTTAAAAGCCTGGTAGACCTGTATTTCTGCTAAATCCTAAATAATTGTCACATGACCATCAAGCCACGCCCACAGAACCGGTAATAAAAAAATTTAGAACCCACTCCTGCATGTAAATGGTAGGCGCCGGCACTCACAGCCCTACTCTCACAAATAAATTTGCACAGACCTGCTCCTCACACAAAACCATTTCCCCTTCCCCACCCGCACTGGGCCACCAACCCGGAAAGGTTGGAGAATGCTGTTTTAGAATGGCATTACCCATTTGTGCAATTGAGGCATCATCTATGGCAGGGGTGTCAAACTTGTGTTGTCATGGCATCATCATGTGATGTATTGTGACTTTTTTCCCCTTTGCTACACCACGCTACATAGGCGTGGTCAGCGTGTGACGCATCCCGGCCCGGGGCCCGCGAGTTTGACAATCCTGATCTATGGCCGTATTTTTTTTTATTGGTTTTACCACAACAACACAACACAACACAACATACAAAACACAAACACATGATATGTGTTTCTTTTTACATATCAGTTTCGTTCCTCTTACTTTCTACTATATACATTCCCCATTTTTCCCATCCTTTATTATCATTATCTTTATCGTCCCTTTATTTTTAATTTTCTTCATTTACAATATTTTGCACATTAAGTGGTATGATTGGCTCGAGATTAGGGAAAGTAAATGTGAATAAACAATGGAGAGAAGAAGGTGACAAATGTGCAAAATATGGCTGTATTTTTTAAATGTGGCAACCTTAAAATGTGCAAACTTGGCAACTTTAACATCTCAGAATTCCTCAGGCTAGCAGGGAGTTGAAGTCCCCACATCGTAAAAGTTCCCAAGTCTGAAAACACAGATCTATAGTAACAATAACAAAAGGACATAGGCAAATATGATCTTGTATTTTTAAATAAGTAATTACTTATTTATTTATTTTTGAGGCTGGTTGAGGGGGGGAGCTTAAACTTTAAAAGTAAGAACAGTAAAATTATTTCAAGAGGGAAATCATTGCTTTTCACTTTCACACAAGTTATGAATCAAGGCATTATATGCCTTGACTCTGGAGATTCTCAGTCATCCAGTCATCTCAGTGTCCCAAAGGTGCTTTTTTTTCAGGAGGCAATTGGACTTTTTGTTTTTTGTTTGAAGACGTTTCGCTTCTCATTCAAGAAGCTTCTTCAGCTCTGACTGGATGGTAGGGAATGGGAGGATTTCTATTTCTTGCAGACAGCTGGTCATTTGCATTCTTTTAGAGAGTTGTTGAGGCCACTTGGAGGTTTATCTGTGTCCTCAGGGTCACCTGAGTAGTGCAAATGGGTATGGAACCCACTGCCTTGGTGGCGCAGCGGCTAAAGTGCTGTTAAAGTGCTGCCAACTGCCTGCAATTACTGTGAGTTCAAATCTCACCAGGCTCAAGGTTGACTCAGCCTTCCATCCTTTCGAGTAGGTAAAATGAGGACCCAGATTGTGAGGGCAATAAGCTGACTTTGTGTAAAAAGAACACCACTTGGGGGGCTGAAAGCCCTACTAAGCAGGTATATACAAAAGTATGACAGCTATTGCTTAACACATTGTAAGCCGCCCTGAGCCTCCGGAGAAGGGCGGCATATAAATCAAACCAATAAATAAAATAAATAAATAAACCTTCTTGGAACTGCTGAAAGGACTGTGTTGTAGATTGGAGATAGATGATGTTGTATCCTCCCCTTCTGTTGAGAGAGGGCTGTTCAATTTTGACATAGATGGCCTCTTTGACCCCTCTTTCAAATCAATGATCCCCTCTGTCCAAAATATGGATTTTGTTGTCTTCAAAAGAGTGGCCTGTTCCTTTTAAATGCAGATGGACTGCTGAATCCAGCCCTGATGTGTTTGTTCTCCTATGTTGAGCCATGCCTTATATTATACATTATATATCTTATTTTTCTTTGATGAAATACGCAAGATCTCCGACCTCCGAGTGTTTCGTTGCGCACTGAAGACCCTGTTGTTCCGCCAGGCAGGGCTATCAACTTAATAATTTTAATTGGGGTATTTTAAATGTTTGGGGTTTTAAATCGGCCAAATCTATGTAATTATTTTAATTTTTAATTATTGTTGTGTGTTGTGTTTTTAAATTGGCTGTACACCGCCCTGAGTCCTTCGGGAGAAGGGCGGTATAGAAATAAAATTATTTATTTATTTTATTTATTTATGAAAGAACACCAAAAGCCTATGCTTTCTCTGAGAGGTTTTTTTCCTGGTGAGACCAGTCTATCAGGGCAACCTGGTCTACCCAATTATGAGACGGAGCATACTGCTTCTGTTTTTGCCTTTCAGCCCCAATCCGGGAGCCTTCGCAGGCAGTTGCTTTCACGATAAAACTATTTTTGTGTTGAATTTTATGTTTACCAACAAAGAAATAAGGGGATTCTCTCTAAGAGTTTCATATTTATAAATAGACAAACTGAGGGGGAAGAGCCTTCCAACAGACAGTATAAGCAGTAGCACTATTTCAGATTTGCAAAATATTCTTGTACCCCAAGCTGTTTTAAAGCTGGGTGGAAAGCAGTCAAGAAACATAATGAGCAAAAATTCATGCATTGCCCTTCATATCAGACTTATATGAATCTCGGACTAATGCTATCAGGCAGGAACATCCTCAGGAAGGTGTCAAAAGAGTCAAGACTGAATGTGCAGACCCACTCCTTACATGTATCACATACAACACATATAAAACAAAGAAAGCCTTTATTGTATAGTTGTGGTCAACCTCATGACATTTTGGAAATCACCACCTCCTTGCTTTCAGGTGATTTCCCCCCCCCCTAAGGTTGGTTCTTGGTGGACAGCTGGAACTGGAGGGCTAGACCAGGGGTGGGTTATACTTACCTTTACTACCAGTTTGCAACGGGGCCGCGCACACACGTTTGCTTCGCTCGCGTGTGCTTTGGCGCATGCACAGAAGCTTCCTTGGTGGGCGGAGCCTCCTGCCGGTTTTACTACCGGTTCTATAGAACTGGTCTGAACCAGGGGCAACCCACCACTGGGCTAGACATTTTTGCATATGACTTGAAGGAAGAATTTTAGTCAAACAAGAAGTTTCAATTGAAAGAGCTAATAATTCAACTTTGCATTTTGATGGAGGTCCAATTGAATTGAGTAAATCAACTTTTAAAGCAAGCTGGTTCTGTAACTCTAGGTCAAATTCTAGTTGAATCAGATTTTTATATTGCAATAATACCTGTCTCCTCAAAAATAGTAGAATAGTAGAATGAGATTACTAGGCAAATGTGTTGAATTTCTCATGAACATAAAGTTTGGGTGTGTTCAGATCTACTCTTCTACTGCCAGGGTTTTTAGACCCATTATAACTTCAACATTCAATAGGCAACAGTACCTGTATGACTGCAATTAATCATTACTAATTCATTAATAGTGTATTTCATTTCATCCCTTGCTTTATTGCTAGATTTTTCGTTGTGGATTATTCAAGGGTTTTGACTGGGGTGATGAGAGGAAGAATAAAAAGAAGCACAATCAGGTATGGCAATATTTGTTTATTTATAGGCACAAATTTTGAAAAAAATTAAAGCAAAGAAAATGTATGTGGGGAGAAATAATTCATAGACACCTGGTACCTTTGACTATCTCACCCAATCTGATTCAACCCATCCGAGGTGCCTTTCCCTGAGAAACTATTAGTAGGATCCCAATTCCAGGAAGTAAGAGGGAAGTGTTATTTTTCTCCGATGGCCATCATCTTCTGAAATAGCTTCCTCATGGAGACAAGATGTTCTCCAATATTAATAGCCTTCAGATTGCTAGTTGAAGCCAAGTTATTCCAGAGAATTTGGAGATGAATCACAACTACATCAGGAATGTTGTTTTTAACTGAGTTTTAATTTTTCATGAACACTTGTCTATTGTCGATTCATTGTAATGAATCTAACTTTCTGGGTATAATCAGATAGTCCTATCTGTAAGGGTAAGGTGGAGATGGAATCCTGATGGTCCCAGCAGCAATAAGAAACTGTTAGCGAAGCTCTGCTTCAAAATCAGAAGCATGGGATTGACATGGGATTGACAGCTGAAGTCCCCTGCAGGGGGACCATCGGGCATGGAATTGACAGCTGAAGTCCCCTGCAGAGATATGTCAAGCAAAATTTCTCCCAGCTCTTTTTTTCCCCCATCAAGTATTTCACCAAAATGTTCATATCAAGCTGGGCAGTCTAAGAGGCAATTATATTTCTTCTCTGAGCCAATAATGCTCAAGATATACTTGCAGTTGAAAATATCTAGTACTCAGAATCAGAACTTTCTGAATAGCTCTGTTCTACTTCTTGAATTAGAACAATAACCACACAACCCAATTTACATAAAGAATTCAAGAATAACTTTTACACATCAGTAATTATACAACTCTATAGGAATGAATTCCATTCCTCCATTACTTCATACTCTGCTTGGCAAATGCAATTTCTTTCCCTTCCTTTATTTTGCTCTGCCATCCACATAAAAAAAGCCAAATATATTTTAAAGCCCAAAGATATCCACACAATTCAATAACCTTATTTAAGTTTCTCCTCCTCCTCTCTGAATTCTTGAGTCTTGTTGATTTTTCCTGTACTTCATCTGGGGGTAGCCACAATCCAAATTCACACAGCTGTGCGTTACTTTATCCAGTCACAGTTTCTTCTCTCAACTGTCAAACAGAGAATGTTCTTCCTACTAGGCATACGCCTCACCTTCTTGCTGGTGAAGATTAGTGTCAATCTTTCCAGCTAATATATAGGTTGCTTTCCTTCAAGGGTGGATTCACCTCTCTTGAACCCAAGCTACAAGCAGGCACTCCCAGAAATTGAGGAAAGCTTTGTGTATTCTCCCTTTAACTCTTACATACAAGCAAGTGAGCAATTTTGCCTTGTGTTTAATAGAAACGTTGTCTAGCTGCTCTTTATTATCTTTGTCTTCCTCTTACCTCAACATTTTATCTTTTTTCTCCTCATCTCAAGTTATGTTCTTGTCTGACTTTAAATCTTTTACTTTTGTTCTTGTTGTTGTTGTTTCCTCCCATTCCGAGGTGGGTTATAGCAGGTTCTGACCAGTTCTGGAGAACCGGTAGCGGAAATTTTGAGTAGTTCGGAGAACCGGTAAATACCACCTCTGACTGGCCTTGCCCCCATCTATTCTCTGCCTCCTGAGTCCCAGCTGAAGGGGAGGGAATGGAGATTTTACAGTATCCTTCTCCTGCCACGCCCACCAAGCCACACCCACAGAGCCAGAAGTAAAAAAAATTGAAACCCATCACTGCTCCCATTGTTATATTCTTTGTCTAGGCCATTCCTTCCACACCCGTTTCCTCTCTGAGTCAAATGTCTCTTACTCAGTGGAGTCCTCCAAGAATTCTCTAGCTAGCATTTAGCTGGGGAATTCTGGGAGTCAAAGTTCACATATCTTAACACTGCCAAGTTTCAGAAACACTGCTCCAGAGGAGCCATTTTTCTGTCCTAAGGAGATCAATTCTATCCTTGCAGGATGGTCTGTGTCTGCTAAGAAGCTCTTTATCTCATCTCTCTTTCACTACATTATTTCACTGTTGTTTACAACTTCTTTATCATATCCTGCTAATTACAAAACCTGGATTCCTATTCCTTGCGATAGCAAACCTTACAAAGTTGCATCAGCTTTACTCATTTCTTCAAATTATCTGCAAGTTTCTGGATTATACTAGCCACGGTGACGCAGTGATTAGAGTTCAGTACTGCAGGCTACTTCTGCTGACTGCTGGCTGCCTGCAATTTGGCAGTTTAAATCTCACCACGCTCAAGGTTGACTCAGTCTTCCAACCTTCTGAAGTGGGTAAAATGAGGAGTCTGACTCTGTAAACTGCTTAGAGAGGGCTGTAAAGTGGTATATAAGTGCTATTGCTATTGAAAATAATTTGCACAGTAAAGGCACTTAAGGACTGAGCCCAATGGATGTCCCTATGTCACTATGGTATATACATTTCATGCATGCACAACATAATAAGGAGAGAGCCTTGGTGGCACCGCAGACTAAAGTGCTGTTAAATAGCACCAGCTGCCTGCAATTACTGCAAGTTCAAATACACCAGGCTCAAGGTTGACTCAGCCTTCCATCCTTTTGAGGTAGGTAAAATGAGGACCCGGTTTGTGGGGGCAATAAGCTGACTTTGTATAAAAATGAACCCCGCTTAGTAGGCCGAAAGCCCTACTAAGCAGGTATATACAAAAGTATGAAGGCTATTGCTTAACGCATTGTAAGCCGCCCTGAATCTCCGGAGAAGGGGGGCATATAAATCGAACCAATAAATAAATAAACAATAAATAAATAAGCCATGATAAAATTATAATCAGGACATTTAGTTTTGACATGACAACATGATTCCTCAGCACCTTGCTCACAGCTGATTATTTTTGTTATGTTAAAATTTTCAGATGACAATCAGAATGGCACATGTCCTGAAAGCAAACAAACACATTCTATCAGGATTTTTTAATTTTATTCTGACCATATCTAAAACTCTTAGAATATATATAAGAATGGAATTAGGATGGGCCTTCATGAGAGAACATCCCATTTTGAGGTCAGGACACTTTACATGCACTCCCTGTTACAAGCCATGCATGGCTTATAACACTCCCAATATTTAGTAAAGAATTAGTAAAACCTAAAAGTCCTATGAGGGGAAGAAGCAATGTAAAAGGGGAAGCAGTAATAATCATAAATCCAAAAGGACTTAAGCTCTTACTATCTGAGTGATCAATTGTCCCACTGTGAATCTGATAGTTCAGGAGTGTCAAACTCGTGGCCCATGGGCCAGATGCATCACATGTTAGCCCCGCCCTCGCCCAGTTTAGCGAAGGAGGGGGGAAGTCCCAACATGTCACGTGATGATGCTGTGACGATGCAAGTTTGACAGCCCTGTGATAGTTGGTTTAGATCAGCAGGGGAAGCTTTCGGAAAATCCCTCTTGCTGCTTGGCTATGTTGTGGTTGCCCTAGGAAAGGGTGTTGCCCCTCCCACTTTCAAATATTTAAGAAAATGACAAAAGTGCTCCATCTACTTGATCTACTTGATCTACTTGATTTACTCCATCAAGCGTTTAATTATTTCTTAAAATCATTTTAATGATCTTGATTTTCATTGCATTCATTTTATTGTTGTTTTCGTGTTCTCCCTAAATAATAATACAAATTTGTTTTATTTATTAATGTTTGTAAACCTTCGAAGAACTATAAAGAATTCATTTTAATATACTAACTCTGCTTCCATTTATATGTTTTAATTTTTTTTTAAAAAAAAGTCAGTTGCTTTAATTAATTTTTGTATTGTTTTATGTATTTATATATTTTCTAGCCTACTCCTCCATTATATAAAGTGAAAGATATGACAGTTCCAACTGTGGTATGGACCGGAGGAAAAGATTTACTTTCAGATCCAAAAGATATTGCTATTTTATTGCCTCAAATCAAACACCTTGTTTCCCATAAATCCATTCCAGACTGGGCACACCTCGATTTCATCTGGGGTCTGGATGCACCCCAACGCATGTATAATGAAATAATTGCTCTGATGAAGAAGTATGCATAATCTCTTCCAAAACAAAACAAAACAAAATGGATAACTGGAGCATAATGATCTTCACTGTAATTCTCCCCGTGTTTGTCACCTATCGCATCATCCCTTGATTTAATGTGCTATTTGTAGTTTTGGCTGCAGTGACAGATCTCTGTAATACACATTGGATAATGTTAGTTTTTTAAAATATATATTTTCCATTTCAAACATTGAAATTGCAATCAAAATTGCTCCCCACTCATACAGTACAATTTAAATCAGAATCATTTTCCCTTTTTGAATTCAGTTGAGTTGAAGACAAATATCGTGTTTTCCCAAAAATAAGACCCTGTCTTACATTTTTTAATAATAAAATAAGGCCAAACGAAATAAGCATTTGGCCTTATTTTCAGGGAGGTCTTATTATTTTGGGGCGCATGGAGCAAGATGAGGCACCTCTTGCCATCTTACCTGATTTCCAGATCTGTGTTTAAATACTTTTGGGGAGGGCTTATTTTTGGAGGGAGGCTTATTTTAGCGCATGCATTCAAAAGCCCGATTGGGCTTATTATCAGGGGATGTCTTATTTTTGGGGAAACAGGATACACTTTTGGAACAGTATTATCAGGAAAAGAGGGGGAGGGGAAAGGTAATACAAACAGTTGTCAACTTACAATAAGGCAGTAACTATATTGAAGTCTGCTATATAGTGCAATATTAATGCAATATTGGTTTTCAATTGAATTGTATAGAATGTGAAGGATGTATGTTTGTGTTTTATTTTTATAATTATATTGTTACACTGCAGATGGCATTTAATTTCATTGTACGAAGTGCAATAACAATAAACTAAACTAAACTAAACAAGAGTAACGGAGCCTGCCTAGGACAGTTGTAAGTCATAATGGTTGTTAAAGTAGGTTATCATCTAACCGACTTGAATTTACAAGAGGTTTTTTTTTTTGTGTGTGGCTATCATCAAGTGAGCCTTGTGGTTGTTAAGCAAAGTCATTGTTCATTATGGGGCACTTTTGCTGAAAACTGGAAGTAAATGCCGTTTTTCAGCAAAAACATCACAATTTACAGTCATGTGAGTGTAAGATGCTGCAAACAGCTGTAACACAATTAGTCTCATGCCTGGGGGGGGGCACTGAAACTGCAGAACCAGTTTGTAAGTACTTGGGAAGGGGTCCGTTGTAAATTCGAGTGGTTGCTAAGTGACCGGTCGTAAATCAATTACCTTGTAGCAAACAAGATTAGAGAAAGAATATTTGCTGTTTTTGTAATTTAGCCCTGCCAGACTGATTTGCTGAATCTTTCAATGGTCACTTTCTGTTGCAGAAACTTAATTTTCTTAGGCAGGATTAAGTAAAGGCTTACAAAGACTGCGTACTCAGTGGCTGTTTTTGCACAATTTAAACAACAAACTAACCAAGCCAATTGGCATCAGAATGTTGCCCAACTCGCTTCAACTCAATGCATCATGCTGTTCTGACCTAGGCTTCCCCAAATCACAAAACAGACTCTTTGTCCCGCCCCCCTCAAAAAAAAGCCCCTTTTTATTTGGCTAATGTGAATTCCTATCATTCACATCCAGCAAAGTCCTGGCAAAAAGTCTTTCAAGGATGAATTGCAACCACAGACCTTATCAGTTCTTGGGTAGTTGCCAGGCCAATAGCTTCCAGGTGCAACGCTGTACAACAAAATACTTGGCAAGGAGTCTCTGGGAGGCACTAACCCGGATAAGCAAATCTTCACACTAATAAACGAACTAATTGTCTCCTGCAAACATCACTTCCCTTTCGCTACTATTTATTTCCTATGGGAGAGGCCATTCAGCATTCCCTTTACTTCCGAGTCGACCCTTGTTCCTTAATTGTTCCCTTCTCCTGACAGCTCTGTGCATGCTCACATCGGGAACAGGCTCCAGCTGTTCTTCTGCCCCACTTATCTCCGACTCCGAAGGTAGCTGATAACTGTCGGATGGCCCTGGCCCCATCTCTGCCTCCGACACAGAGCACACATCAGACTCCAAGACTGGCCCATGTTCTTCCCCAACCTCTTCACTGTCCGAGTCTGCTGCCAGCTCTGCTGGCCGCTGGCGGGCCACAACATATGCAAATTCAAAGCCTAGTGTCAATGCAATAAGTTATGGGTAAGCCTACCACACAAATACAGTCTATATTCACACATATGTATCACTCAGCATAGGTAAAACAATAACAACAACAACAACAACATGCTGCTCCCATTTATTTGTTTGGGCACATAGTAAAATATATCCTGTATATGCATCAGTATGCTGCATGTGTGTCTTGTTGGCAGGATGCAGGCAACAACAGGTTGGGTTGCAAGTTAATCATTAACTCTAACCCTGCTTATATCAATTGTGTCCTAGACACCTCTAGATTAGATTACTGAAACATGCTCTATCTGGGGCTGCCTTTGAAGAGAATCTGAAAGCTTCAGCAGGTAGAGATTGCAGCAGTTAAGAGCAGTCCTAGAAAAACACATGTTACTCATCTGCTCCCTGAGCTACACTGATTGCCAATTTGTTTCCAGGTCTAATTCAAGGTGTTGGCTTTAACCTGTAAAGTTCTTCATGACCTAGGACTATCCAGAGGACGGCCTCTCCCTGTTACATCAGCCGCATTATATCTGGGAGAGAAGGCAGGCTGCTAGGGATCTTGCATTTGGTGGGTCTTTGCGGTGGCAGTCACCTTATGGAACATTCTTCCTCCTGAAACCAGTTTAGCAATATCCATTTTGGCATTTCAAAAGTCCTTCAAGATGTGATTATGTCATTAGGCCCGAGGATTCCAGGAAACCAGAGACATGCTTAGATGGCTCCATTAAGGTGGCCATTGTTACCCTCTCTTTGCCTACGTTTATTTGTTTTTGTAATATTTATCTTTTAATGTGGATTGTTATGTCTTGATTGTTTTGATATCTGCTGCTTTATTTGATTGTTGTGCACCACTCAGAATAGTTTTTGTGAGACAGGCGATTCGGCAGATAATAATAGAATTACCAAGGTTAAATCCACAGTCCTACCAACACTGGAAGAACAAGCTATTGCATATACTCACATACTAGGGATAATGAGACAGATGGCATATAAATTTAATAAAGTGATAAATATAAACAGAGAGTGAATCTCATGCCCACTAGCACTGATGCTGTTACCTAGTTGAATAATGAAGTGTTTGCAAGCAAACAACCAAGAAAGCATCATGGACTCCACAAACTATTCTACTTCTCCCATGCTCAGTTTCACCTTAACAGTTAACAAGAAAAGATTTATTTGACAGACTTGCAAAGAGGCATGGACTCCTGTAGGCTACCACAATGTATTTTTAAGATATGAAAATCCACATTTAAACAGCAGGTTCAGTGTAGTTACTATAGATATCCGGACATCTATTTTTAGTCTTAAAAATAAAGCTATTTGGTTGACTTTTTAAATGTAGATCGAACCAGCTTGCATTAGCATTTGCCAAACAGTATTCACTAGTCCTCTGTCTTACATCCCTGCACTAAGACATCTCAAATCAAAGTAACAAGATTGACAGTGTATATACAGATCTATGCTATTGTTTCTCAACTGCTACTTAAGCCTCTTTGCTCCATAGTTCTTATGCAACGCGTTGATATTGCAACTTACTGAATCCTATTTCTCACCTAAGCAATTTTCTCTGTGTTGTTTTGCAATTCTATTTTATTACGGCAAACAAGTCCTTCAATAAATTGTTTCAACTTATCTTTATGCCCTACCAGATGTATTATTACTCAAGGTTTGCTCTTGTCAGTTCAGTGATGAAATTCAATTTTTTTTACTACAGGTTCTGTGGGCGTGGCTTGGTGGCCGTGGTGTGGTGTGGTATGGTGGGCATGGCTTGGTGCGCATGGCAGGGGAAGGATACTGCAAAATCTCCATTTCCTCCCCACTCCTGGGGGAAAGATATTGCAAAATCTCCATTCCCACCTCACTCTGGGGCCATCCAGAGGTGGTATTTGCCAGTTCTTCAAACTACCCAAAATTTCTGCTACCGGTTCTCCAGAACCTGTCAGAACCTGCTGGATTTCACCCCTGTGTCAGTTGCATTCTGAACCCCCTCCCCCAACACCCTTCTGACCTTTATTTTGTCATTTTGCTAGTCTTTGAGAAACTAAACATATCAATTTGAAGTGAAAAGGTGAGAACATTTGGCTTGATGTGGCACTTTGTATCATCTTACAACCTCCATTGTAGTCCAGTAGCTGGAGGATTTTCACCAGTGAGTTCAAGTGAAACAATAGAGTTATTTCATTTAACTGTTCTAAATAATCTTATATATACTGTAGCTACATTGCATGCCCAAGTTATTAAAGCCCAGAAACAACATGTTGCAGATTTATATCTGCAGTAATAAAAAATAAATGTTATGCATTTATTCTATAGGGTGAGTTATGTCATATGCCACATCGTTAGAATTTTGCATATGGTTTGAAATACGCTACAGGCAAATCATGATAGCAATTAGTGTCAATGTAATCATCAGGAATCCGGATAAACTTGTTAGCACCTAACTAAGTAATGCATGGCAGACAGGTTTTTTAAAAAAATTATCTCTTCCTTTATATCTCCCTGCTGGCTTGCTTGTCAGTCCGTTTGGGGGTTGTTAAATTTGTGAGAGTACCAAATTGCTCACAATCTTCAGATGAACTCAATTTGGTTTTGCTTGCCTCATTTCAGAAAGCTCCCCAAATCCTTCCTGAGCAGCCAACTGTTTTATGAGCCAATCATAATGTACATGCAACTCATCTGAAATAAATCCCTGTATTTAGTCTGCCAAGACTTTGCTTCTAAAAGATCTGCCTATCAGGTTAATATGCTATTATACTTATTTATGCTATGGTACAATCCTGTTTTGATCTACCCAGTTGTTAGACATAATTGGAAAGAATACAATGTAATATGTTGTAGGAGTTTCCATGAAATGTCAGCAAAAGTCCTCAAAGCTATTACCGAATTAAATGTCTAGGGAGATTCTTAGTCATCCAGGTCATGGTTGTCCCAAAAGTGTTTTTTTCAAAAGGCAACTAGACTTGGTTTTCCTTGAAGGAGCTTCTTGGATGAGAAATGAATGTGTCAATTCTGCCATCTTCATCTTGGTGCCTTGCTAGTACCCTGACATCAAGAGCTAAGGCAGAGGGGGCAAGATGGGACAAGGCTAGGCTCAGTACTTCTATTTCACCCTGCAATTCGATTTCACCCTGCCGTTCCTCCTAGTGGGAAGAATTTCCTAGCTGATGCTCTATCCTACTTCTGCTGACTACCAGCTGCCTGCAATTTGGCAGTTCGAATCTGACCAGGCTCAGGGTTGACTTAGCCTTCCATCCTTCCAAGGTGGGTAAAATGAGAGGACCCAGATTGTTGGGGGCAAGATGCTGACTCTGTAAACCACAGTTCACTCCTTTTAAGCAGTTCACTCCTTTTAAGGTAACCAAGAGTGTTAGGATATGGTTTGAGCCTAACAAGTTGTCCAGGCAATATATGTGTTCTGTGACTTTAATATGAATATGTATTGTGTGACTTTAAAGTTTTACTGCTGATTCATTGTAATGTTGAGTCATGCTGTAATTAGATAATCACTGGTTGTAAACGTATTTAAGAAAGGTACTGTAATATATTCAGTTGATGATAAGCTACCATAGTGTGTGGAGTTGCTATCATTGTGCTATCATCGTTGGATGGATCTGCTACCATCGTGGTTTGTGAACCAGAGTGAACTTGTTATTCTAACCAACTACTGTTTGTGTGGTAAGAGGAGTTTTTGTATCACTGGACTGATTTAACTGGCAAAGACTTGGATTGATTTAAAGACTATGAGATTGTTTTTTCACTATAAAGTAAACTTTTGATAAACCAGTTTGCACATCTCTTATTCATTGCTCTCAGCAACATTTCTCTGTGCTCTACACTCTGCTGGTTGGTAACACAACAACAATATCCT